TTAAAGAGCTGAAATAAGATGGATGTTCCAGGAGGAATAGGCTTGGTCACTTCTGCCGTACAGTTTGGAGAGTCTGCGTGCCCTGACGAAGAGAATGTCTCCTTCCTTGAGTCTGAGCATCACCGAGTTGCCTGCAACACATCACCAGCAGTAGTTAGGTACACGAGTACAGGCAACATTAGATTAAACTGTAAGCCAGGTACACGAGTATAGGCAACATTAGATTAAACTGTAATCAGGTACACGGGTATGGGGAACATTAGATTAAACTGTAGTTAGGTACACGGGTATGGGGAACATTTGATTATACTGTAGTGAGGTACACGGGTATGGGCAACATTAGATTAAACTGTAGTGAGGTACACTGGTATAGGCAATGTTTGATGGAACTGAAGTGAGGTACACGGGTATGGACAAAGTTTGATGGAACTGAAGTGAGGTAGACGGGTATGGACAATGTTTGATAGAAGTGAAGAGAGGTACACGGGTATGGACAATGTTAGATAGAACTGTATTGAGGTACACGTGTATGGACAATGTTTGATGGAACTGTAGTGAGATACACGGATATGGACAATGTTTGACGGAACTGTATTGAGGTACACGTGTATGGACAATGTTTGATGGAACTGTAGTGAGTTACACGTGTATGGACAATGTTTGATGGAACTGTAGTGAGGTACACGTGTATGGACAATGTTTGATGGAACTGTAGTGAGTTACAGGTGTATGGACAATGTTTGATGGAACTGTAGTGAGGTTCACGGATATGGACAATGTTTGATGGAACTGTAGTGTGTTACACGTGTATGGACAATGTTTGATGGAACTGTAGTGAGATACACGGATATGGACAATGTTTGATAGAACTGTAGTGAGGTACACGAGTATGGACAATGTTTGATAGAACTGTAGTGAGGTACACGGGTATGGACAATGTTTGATGGAACTGTAGTGAGTTACACGTGTATGGACACTGTTTGATGGAACTGTAGTGAGATACACGGGTATGGACAATGTTTGATGGAACTGTATTGAGATACACGGGTATGGACAATGTTTGATGGAACTGTAGTGAGGTACACGGGTATGGACAATGTTTGATGGAACTGTAGTGAGTTACACGTGTATGGACAATGTTTGATGGAACTGTAGTGAGTTACACGTGTATGGACAATGTTTGATGGAACTGTAGTGAGATACACGGGTATGGACAATGTTTGATGGAACTGTAGTGAGTTACACGGGTATGGACAATGTTTGATGGAACTGTAGTCAGGTACACGGGTATGGACAATGTTTGATGGAACTGTAGTGTGGTACACGTGTATGGACAATGTTTGATGGAACTGTAGTCAGGTACACGGGTATGGACAATGTTTGATGGAACTGTAGTGTGGTACACGGGTATGGACAATGTTTGATGGAACTGTATCGTGGTACACGGGTATGGACAATGTTTCATGGAACTGTAGTGAGTTACATGGATATGGACAATGTTTGATGGAACTGTAGTGAGGTACACGGGTATGGACAATGTTTGATGGAACTGTAGTGAGTTACATGGGTATGGACAATGTTTGATGGAACTGTAGTGAGGTACAGGGATATGGACAATGTTTGATGGAACTGTAGTGAGGTACATGGGTATGGACAATGTTTGATGGAACTGTAGTGAGTTACATGGGTATGGACAATGTTGATGGAACTGTAGTGAGGTACACGTGTATGGACAATGTTTGATGGAACTGTAGTGAGGTACACGTGTATGGACAATGTTTGATGGAACTGTAGTGAGTTACAGGTGTATGGACAATGTTTGATGGAACTGTAGTGAGATACACGGGTATGGACAATGTTTGATAGAACTGTATTGTGGTACACGTGTATGGACAATGTTTGATGGAACTGTAGTGAGGTACACGTGTATGGACAATGTTTGATGGAACTGTAGTGAGTTACATGGGTATGGACAATGTTTGATGGAACTGTAGTGAGTTACACGGATATGGACAATGTTTGATGGAACTGTAGTGAGTTACATGGGTATGGACAATGTTTGATGGAACTGTAGTGAGGTACATGGGTATGGACAATGTTTGATGGAACTGTAGTGAGGTACACGTGTATGGACAATGTTTGATAGAACTGTATTGTGGTACACGTGTATGGACAATGTTTGATGGAACTGTAGTGAGTTACATGGGTATGGACAATGTTTGATGGAACTGTAGTGAGGTACATGGGTATGGACAATGTTTGATGGAACTGTAGTGAGATACACGGGTATGGACAATGTTTGATAGAACTGTATTGTGGTACACGTGTATGGACAATGTTTGATGGAACTGTAGTGAGTTACACGTGTATGGACAATGTTTGATAGTACTGTATTGTGGTACACGGATATGGACAATGTTTGATGGAACTGTAGTGAGATACACGGATATGGACAATGTTTGATGGAACTGTAGTGAGTTACAGGTGTATGGACAATGTTTGATGGAACTGTAGTGAGATACACGTGTATGGACAATGTTTGATGGAACTGTAGTGAGTTACACGTGTATGGACAATGTTTGATGGAACTGTAGTGAGATACACGTGTATGGACAATGTTTGATGGAACTGTAGTGAGGTACACGTGTATGGACAATGTTTGATGGAACTGTAGTGAGGTACACGGGTATGGACAATGTTTGATGGAACTGTAGTGAGATACACGGGTATGGACAATGTTTGATAGAACTGTATTGTGGTACACGTGTATGGACAATGTTTGATTGAACTGTAGTGAGGTACACGGGTATGGACAATGTTTGATGGAACTGTAGTGAGGTACACGTGTATGGACAATGTTTGATGGAACTGTAGTGAGGTACACGGGTATGGACAATGTTTGATAGAACTGTAGTGAGGTACACGGGTATGGACAATGTTTGATGGAACTGTAGTGTGGTACACGGGTATGGACAATGTTTGATAGAACTGTATTGTGGTACACGTGTATGGACAATGTTTGATGGAACTGTAGTGAGTTACATGGGTATGGACAATGTTTGATGGAACTGTAGTGAGGTACATGGGTATGGACAATGTTTGATGGAACTGTAGTGAGGTACACGTGTATGGACAATGTTTGATGGAACTGTAGTGAGTTACAGGTGTATGGACAATGTTTGATGGAACTGTAGTGAGATACACGGGTATGGACAATGTTTGATAGAACTGTATTGTGGTACACGTGTATGGACAATGTTTGATGGAACTGTAGTGAGTTACACGTGTATGGACAATGTTTGAAGGAACTGTAGTGAGATACACGGGTATGGACAATGTTTGATAGAACTGTATTGTGGTACACGGGTATGGACAATGTTTGATGGAACTGTAGTGAGATACACGGATATGGACAATGTTTGATAGAACTGTAGTGAGTTACACGTGTATGGACAATGTTTGATGGAACTGTAGTGAGGTACACGGATATGGACAATGTTTGATAGAACTGTATTGAGGTACACGGGTATGGACAATGTTTGATGGAACTGTAGTGAGTTACACGTGTATGGACAATGTTTGATGGAACTGTAGTGAGGTACACATGTATGGACAATGTTTGATGGAACTGTAGTGAGGTACACGGGTATGGACAATGTTTGATGGAACTGTAGTGAGGTACACGTGTATGGACAATGTTTGATGGAACTGTAGTGAGGTACACGTGTATGGACAATGTTTGATGGAACTGTAGTGAGGTACACATGTATGGACAATGTTTGATGGAACTGTATTGTGGTACACGTGTATGGACAATGTTTGATGGAACTGTAGTGATATACACGGATATGGTCAATGTTTGATGGAACTGTAGTGAGATACACGGATATGGGCAATGTTTGATGGAACTGTAGTGAGGTACACGTGTATGGACAATGTTTAATGGAACTGTAGTTAGGTACACATGTATGGACAATGTTTGATGGAACTGTAGTGAGTTACACGTGTATGGACAATGTTTGATGGAACTGTAGTGAGGTACACGTGTATGGACAATGTTTGATGGAACTGTAGTGAGTTACAGGTGTATGGACAATGTTTGATGGAGCTGTAGTGAGTTACAGGTGTATGGACAATGTTTGATGGAGCTGTAGTGAGTTACAGGTGTATGGACAATGTTTGATGGAACTGTAGTGAGTTACAGGTATATGGACAATGTTTGATGGAACTGTAGTGAGTTACAGGTGTATGGACAATGTTTGATGGAACAGTAGTAAGTTGCACAGGTGTGGACAATGTTTGATGAAACTGTAGTGAGGTACACGGATATGGACAATGTTTGATGGAACTGTAGTGAGGTACACGTGTATGGACAATGTTTGATGGAACTGTAGTGAGATACAGGTGTATGGACAATGTTTGATGGAACTGTAGTGAGTTACAGGTGTATGGACAATGTTTGATGGAACTGTAGTGAGTTACACGGATATGGACAATGTTTGATGGAACTGTAGTCAGGTACACGGGTATGGACAATGTTTGATGGAACTGTAGTGAGTTACAGGTGTATGGACAATGTTTGATGGAACTGTAGTGAGTTACAGGTGTATGGACAATGTTTGATGGAACTGTAGTGAGTTACAGGTGTATGGACAATGTTTGATGGAACTGTAGTGAGATACACGGGTATGGACAATGTTTGATAGAACTGTATTGTGGTACACGTGTATGGACAATGTTTGATGGAACTGTAGTGAGTTACACGTGTATGGACAATGTTTGAAGGAACTGTAGTGAGATACACGGGTATGGACAATGTTTGATAGAACTGTATTGTGGTACACGGATATGGACAATGTTTGATGGAACTGTGGTGAGATACACGGATATGGACAATGTTTGATAGAACTGTAGTGAGTTACACATGTATGGACAATGTTTGATGGAACTGTAGTGAGGTACACGGATATGGATAATGTTTGATAGAACTGTATTGAGGTACACGGGTATGGACAATGTTTGATGGAACTGTAGTGAGTTACACGTGTATGGACAATGTTTGATGGAACTGTAGTGAGGTACACATGTATGGACAATGTTTGATGGAACTGTAGTGAGGTACACGGGTATGGACAATGTTTGATGGAACTGTAGTGAGGTACACGTGTATGGACAATGTTTGATGGAACTGTAGTGAGGTACACGTGTATGGACAATGTTTGATGGAACTGTAGTGAGGTACACATGTATGGACAATGTTTGATGGAACTGTATTGTGGTACACGTGTATGGACAATGTTTGATGGAACTGTAGTGATATACACGGATATGGACAATGTTTGATGGAACTGTAGTGAGATACACGGATATGGGCAATGTTTGATGGAACTGTAGTGAGGTACACGTGTATGGACAATGTTTGATGGAACTGTAGTGAGGTACACATGTATGGACAATGTTTGATGGAACTGTAGTGAGTTACACGTGTATGAACAATGTTTGATGGAACTGTAGTGAGTTACACGTGTATGGACAATGTTTGATGGAACTGTAGTGAGGTACACGTGTATGGACAATGTTTGATGGAACTGTAGTGAGTTACAGGTGTATGGACAATGTTTGATGGAGCTGTAGTGAGTTACAGGTGTATGGACAATGTTTGATGGAGCTGTAGTGAGTTACAGGTGTATGGACAATGTTTGATGGAACTGTAGTGAGTTACAGGTGTATGGAAAATGTTTGATGGAACTGTAGTGAGTTACAGGTGTATTCACAATGTTTGATGGAACAGTAGTAAGTTGCACAGGTGTGGACAATGTTTGATGAAACTGTAGTGAGGTACACGGATATGGACAATGTTTGATGGAACTGTAGTGAGGTACACGTGTATGGACAATGTTTGATGGAACTGTAGTGAGATACAGGTGTATGGACAATGTTTGATGGAACTGTAGTGAGTTACAGGTGTATGGACAATGTTTGATGGAACTGTAGTGAGTTACACGGATATGGACAATGTTTGATGGAACTGTAGTCAGGTACACGGGTATGGACAATGTTTGATGGAACTGTAGTGAGTTACAGGTGTATGGACAATGTTTGATGGAACTGTAGTGAGTTACAGGTGTATGGACAATGTTTGATGGAACTGTAGTGAGTTACACGGATATGGACAATGTTTGATGGAACTGTAGTGAGTTACAGGTGTATGGACAATGTTTGATGGAACTGTAGTGAGTTACAGGTGTATGGACAATGTTTGATGGAACTGTAGTGAGTTACACGGATATGGACAATGTTTGATGGAACTGTAGTGAGGTACACGGATATGGACAATGTTTGATGGAACTGTAGTGAGTTACAGGTGTATGGACAATGTTTGATGGAACTGTAGTGAGTTACAGGTGTATGGACAATGTTTCATGGAACTGTAGTGAGTTACAGGTGTATGGACAATGTTTGATGGAACTGTAGTGAGTTACACGGATATGGACAATGTTTGATGGAACTGTAGTGAGATACACGTGTATGGACAATGTTTGATGGAACTGTAGTGAGGTACATGGGTATGGACAATGTTTGATGGAACTGTAGTGAGATACACGTGTATGGACAATGTTTGATGGAACTGTAGTGAGTTACAGGTGTATGGACAATGTTTGATGGAACTGTAGTGACGTACATGGGTATGGACAATGTTTGATGGAACTGTAGTGAGTTACACGTGTATGGACAATGTTTGATGGAACTGTAGTGAGTTACAGGTGTATGGACAATGTTTGATAGAACTTTAGTGAGGTACATGGGTATGGACAATGTTTGATTAAACTGTAGTGTGGTACACGGGTATGGACAATGTTTGATGGAACTGTAGTGTGGTACACGGGTATGGACAATGTTTGATGGAACTGTAGTGAGGTATATGGGTATGGACAATGTTTGATGGAACTGTAGTGTGTTACATGGGTATGGACAATGTTTGATGGAACTGTAGTGAGTTACATGGGTATCCTAAACTGCTTTACTGAATTTTCAGCCATGGTTTTGGATGTTAAATGTTGTATCCTTAATTTGCCCAGCTGAATTGTCACCCATGATTATGGATGTTAAACGTTGTATCACTAATTTTCTGTAGTAAATTTTCACCCATGATATTGGATGTTAAATGTTGTATCCTTAATTTGCTCAGCTGAATTGTCACTCATGATGATTGATGTTAAATGTTGTATCCCTGTTTTGCTACGTTGAATTGCTACCAGAAGGAGATATGCATTTCCGGAGGAGGGGCGGGAGAGGGTAGAATGGGATGGGATAGGGTGCATCGTACGAGCAGCAACCGAGCTATGGAAAAATGGAAGAATGGGACGGAGATACCCGAAGCTGAAATTCGTTAATCTGTCGCCGACATGTCATGACCGGAACTGAGATGCCCGAAGCTGAGATTCATTAGTCTGTCGCCGACATGACATAATAGAAAGTCTGTTGCCGACATGTCATGACAAACAAGTCTGTCGCCGACATGTCATGACAAACAAGTCTTTCGCCGACATGTCATGACCGGAACTGAGATGCCCGAAGCTGAGATTCATTAGTCTGTCGCCGACATGTCATAATAGAAAGTCTGTCGCCGACATGTCATGACAAACAAGTCTGTCGCCGACATGTCATGACAAACAAGTCTGTCGCCGACATGTCATGACCGGAACTAAGATGCCCGAAGCTGAGATTTATTATTCTGTCGCCGACATGTCATAATAGATAGTCTGTCGCCGACATGTCATGACAAACAAGTCTGTCGCCGACATGTCATGACAAACAAGTTTGTCGCCGACATGTGATGACCGGGACGGAGATGCCCAGTGCTGAAATTCATTAGTCTGTCGCCGACATGTCACGACCGGGACGGAGACGCCCGAAGCTGAGATGCATTGGTCTGTCGACAACATGACATGACAGACAAGTCTGTCGCCGACGTGTCATAGCAGACAAGCCACAGCTAACATCCTCTGACTTACCAGCGGCATCATAAGCGCCATCTTGTTTGGCATAGACTGAGACGACGTAATCCTGATTGTGAATCAGCTCCAGCCAACCTTCCTGGCCGGTCTGAGTCAACAGGTACATGTAGATCCCGTAGATGCCATCCTGCAGACAGCAGACATTACCCACAATTACCATACCATTGGAAAACATTAGAAAGTTTTCGGGAGATGTTCACACATCCAACACACATTGATAGCACTATTCCCTTACATAACATATACGCTAAAACAATGGCATACATTAAACAGCTGTATGTCAAACAAAGTTACACATGATTAAGACACTGAAAGTGTCACAAGCTTTGAATATCTAGGTTCTGTAATAAATGTAATAATGTCTGCTTTCTAGTTGTGAGAGGATTCATTGTTTGTGCTACATTATGTGTTGAGGCCAATTCTGTAAACATGCACCTCACGAGATTGCAGCCACACATTTCAGACAATGAATATTTCCACGTATTACTTGTGTCATCATTATGTCCAATAGGTTTTGGTACAGCCAGTAAGTTGTTGATCAGGTGGGTAAGTTGTTGATCAGGTGGGTCAGTTGTTGGTCAGACCAGCAAGTTGTTTATTAGGCCTGCAATGAAAGACCCTGAGTCACTTTTACAGTTGATAATAGACCACAGGTCAGTTCTACCGTTATTGATAGACAAGTCAATTCTACCGTTTATGATAGATCACAAGTCAGTTTTACCGTTTATGATAGATCACATGTCAGATCTACCGTTTATGAAAGACCACAAATCAATTCTACCATTTATGATATATCACAGGTCAGTTCTACCGTTTATGAAAGACCACAAATCAATTCGACCATTTATGATATATCACAGGTCAGTTATACCGTTTATGATAGACCACAAATCAATTCTACCATTTATGATATATCACAGGTCAGTTCTACCGTTTATGATAGACCACAGGTTAATTCTACAGTTGATGAAAGACCACAAATCAATTCTAATATTTATGATATATCACAGGTCAGTTCTACCGTTTATGAAAGACCACAAATCAATTCTACCATTTATGATAGACCACAGGTCAGTTCTACCGTTTATGATAGACAACAAGTCAGTTCTACCGTTTATGGTAAACCACAAGTCAGTTCTACCGTTTATGATAGACAACAGGTCAGTTCTACCGTTTATGATAGACCACAGGTCAGTTCTACCGTTTATGATAGACCACAGGTCAGTTCTACCGTTTATGATAGACCACAGGTCAGTTCTACCGTTTATGATAGACCACAGGTCAGTTCTACCGTTTATGATAGACCACAGGTCAGTTCTACCGGTAACGATAGACGAGATGCTGCTCGCACACAGTAATACAAATAAAAGATTACCACAGGGGCCTTGAACTCGCCCGTGCTTCCATCGTAGGTGTTGCCGTAGTTAGTGAAGATCTTGTTGTAGATAACCTTGTCGTTAGGGTTGAGGCTGACATCTTCAGTCAGTGCAGCGCTGAAGGCAATCGTCTTCACTGTTGGTAACATACAACATAGATTAGACAACCCCGGCTGTAAGGTAACAATATACAACATAGATTAGACAACCCCGGCTGTAAGGTAACAATATACAACATTTATTAGACAACCCCGGCTGGAAAGTAACAACATACAACATAGATTAGACAACCCCGGCTGTAAGGTAACAATATACAACATTTATTAGACAACCCCGGCTGGAAAGTAACAACATACAACATAGATTAGACAACCCCGGCTGTAAGGTAACAATATACAACATATATTAGACAACCCCGACTGGAAAGTAACAACATACAACATAGATTAGACAACCGCGACTGGAAGATAACAATATACAACACAGATTAGACAACCCGAACTAGAAGATAACAATATACAACATTTATTAGACAACCCCGGCTGTAAGGTAACAACATACAACATAGATTAGACAACCCGAACTAGAAGATAACAATATACAACATTTATTAGACAACGCCGGCTGTAAGGTAACAACATACAACACAGATTAGACATCCCCGGCTGTAAGGTAACAATATACAACACAGATTAGACATCCCGAACTAGAAGATAACATTATACAACATAGATTAGACAACCCCGGCTGTAAGGTAACAATATACAACACAGATTAGACATCCCGAACTAGAAGATAACATTATACAACATAGATTAGACAACCCCGGCTGTAAGGTAACAATATACAACATTTATTAGACAACCCCGGCTGGAAAGTAACAACATACAACATAGATTAGACAACCCCGGCTGTAAGGTAACAATATACAACATATATTAGACAACCCCGACTGGAAAGTAACAACATACAACATAGATTAGACAACCGCGACTGGAAGATAACAATATACAACACAGATTAGACAACCCGAACTAGAAGATAACAATATACAACATTTATTAGACAACCCCGGCTGTAAGGTAACAACATACAACATAGATTAGACAACCCGAACTAGAAGATAACAATATACAACATTTATTAGACAACCCCGGCTGTAAGGTAACAACATACAACACAGATTAGACATCCCCGGCTGTAAGGTAACAATATACAACACAGATTAGACATCCCAAACTAGAAGATAACATTATACAACATAGATTAGACAACCCCGGCTGTAAGGTAACAATATACAACACAGATTAGACATCCCGAACTAGAAGATAACATTATACAACATAGATTAGACAACCCCGGCTGTAAGGTAACATACAACATAGATTAGACAACCCCGGCTGTAAGGTAACAATATACAACATAGATTAGACAATCCGGACTAAAAGGTAACAATATACAACATATATTAGACAATCCCGGCTGGAAAGAAACATTCAACATAGATTAGACAAATAAGACTGGAAAGTAACAACATACAACATAGATTAGACAACCGCGACTGGAAGATAACAATATACAACATATATTAGACAACCCCGACTGGAAAGTAACAACATACAACATAGATTAGACAACCCCGACTGGAAGATAACAATATGCAAAATAGATTAGACAACCCCGACTGGAAGGAACAACATTAAAAAGATTAGAAAATCCTGACTAGAAGATAACAATATACAATATAGATTAGACAACCTTGACTGGAAGGAACAATATACAATATAAATTAAACAACGCTGACTGGAAGGTAACAATATACAAAATAGATTAGACAACAATGACTGGAAGGAACAACACATAACATAGATTAGAAAATCCTGACTAGAAGATAAAAAATATACAACATAGATTAGACAACCCCGACTGGAAGGAACAATGTAAAAAATACATTTTACAACCATGACTGGAAGTAACAACATATAACATAAATTAGAAAATCCAGGCTAGAAGATAGCAATATACAACATAGATTAGACAACCCCGACTTTAAGGTAACAACATTCAACATAGTTATTATTCTATCTAGTTAAGTGAAAAGCATTTGCCAACTATGACGAATCATTTCATTACCTCAAACAAATATATTTAACAATATCCGTGTAAAACATCTCTGATTCTCGAAACACTTGATGGTTACACACGGAGAAACTCTAAATCTAAGATAAACTCGTGGATTAAATCCCTCGACAATATATTTTATGATAGCCATTTCATTTTTGTTAAAAACCAAAAATTATAATCGCAATTGCTTTTTTTTTTTTTTTTAAATTGTGGAAATATTTGTGCACGACATTGCACTTTCGCTTTTGAAGTATGTGTACGCACAATTTGACCTCTTTAGCCTACGCGGAATAGTTCAGAGGTCGAAACAGAGGTTGTTGATCGGAGAAACAACGGTGACCTTTATAAAAGATTGTTTGAAAGGTCGGTTTCATGATAATAAATAATTGATTACTGTACCTACAGGCACACTGTCCGTGAACTACTGCCAGTAGGCCCAGACAGACTGCTGAGGCAAACAACATGGTGCTAGATGTCTGCAAAATACAAGCCAAGCACTTTAGTCAGTGAAACAAATAACTGATCATATCAATTATCTGTAAACTTTTAACGCTTTATATTCCTAACGTAACAGTCATCCAGTCGTGACTCCAGCAGCCCAATAAATTGAACACTGAATGCTTTGTGGGGTATATGATCTATGTCACACCACAATTTGTGGAGTAAATGATCTATGTCACACAATACTTTGTAAATTATATGATCTATGTCACACTATACTTTGTGAAGTATATGATTTATGTCACATTATACTTTGTAAATATATGATCTATGTCACACTATACTTTGTGAAGTATATGATTTATGTCACATTATACTTTGTAAATATATTATATTTGTCACACCACCCATTGAAGAGTGGATGATCTATGTCACGCTATACTTTGTGAAGTATATGATCTATGTCACACTACACTTTGTGGAGTAAATGATCTATGTCACACTATACTTTGTGAAGTATATGATCTATGTCAAACTATACTTTGTGAAGTATATGATCTATGTCACACTATACTTTGTGAAGTATATGATCTATGTCACACTATACTTTGTGGAGTGTTTGATTTATGTCACACTCTACTTTGTAAATGCATGATCTACGTCACAATACCCATTGTGGAGCGGATAATCTATGTCACGCTACACTTTTTGGAGTGTGTGATGTATTCACATTGTACTTTGTGGAGTATATGATCTATGTCACACTACACATTGTAGAGTGGATGATCTATGTCACACTACACATTGTAGAGTGGATGATCTATGTCACACTACATATTGTAGAGTGTATGATCTATGTCACACTATACTTTTTGTGGGGGTTGGTGGGCACATTACAGCTGCCCTTAATATACTTTCTGGAGTATAACTGTTTAGTTGTAGTTGTAGTAAATGATATGTCTCCCATTATACCGCTGCTATATGTTTTATCTGTCTTTTCGGTTAAGTTCTCAGGATTTTATCAAGATATGAAAACATGAAGAAGAAGAGGGAGAGGAGTAGAAGAAGAGCAAATAAAGAAGAATAAGAATAGGAAGAGGAAGCAGAAGAAGAAGAAGAAGAAGAAGAAGAAGAAGAAGTTTAGTTTTAAGGGACACAATGTTTGCCTTATATCCTACTAATACTGCCTTTATTTACTCTCTCTGTGTCTCACTTTGTCCAACTCTTGCTCTCTCACTCTTTCTCTACCACTTTCTCTCACTCAGTGTATGTGTGTGTCTCTCTCTCTCTCTCTATCTCTTCCTCTCTCGTTGTCTCTCTCTCTCACACTATCAGCTTTGTTCATATCATCCCTACAGTAATAACTCCCCAACCACTGCTACAGAAACTAACAATTGCAGATGCGAAAAGTTGGCGCGTTCTTGTGGAGAATAAGACGTGTATGACGTCATCATGCGATAGAGACGCAACAAAGATGATAGCAACAAAGCACTGACCTGGCAAAATTGTTCAGCAGCAAGCTTCAGTGAAGAAGTTCAAATCACATACTCGTGGTCGCGCGTGTGGCAAACTTTTATATCAGTTTCTTTTAATTGACTGGACTTCATCATCGACGTGGGCGACTGAGAGGTGACATGTTTAAACACTAGCCATGTGTGTCAGTCAGGGACATGTCGATAAGTGTCGGCTTGAAATATGGAGCAGGACAGAGAGCTGCTGGTCGTTGCTGACAGGTTAGTTAAATGTGTAAGTTAGAGCTCCTTCGTGAGTACAGTTTACCGGAGTAGCTGCGAGACCAGTCCAACACGAGTGACCTGTTGTCTATTGCCTGCATGCATCCATCATTGATGGACCGAATGTGTTAATGACAGTAGACTGCAACATCCGGCATCATGTGACGGAAGCGAGGTCAAATAACAGTAATAAAACACAGATATACAGTTCTTCCATAAACCCTCAGTTTCTAACCCACCAAAATTATTGAAAACACCCACACAATTAAAAACACCCTTTGTATACCACAAATCCCGCTCTTATTCATATTTTCTGGCCTCACAGTACAGGTCAGTACTTTAGAAATGTTTCTTCTGTATTGTACTAAGTATTGTGAGCATTTATTAAGGAAAAATGAAATCCGACAATAAAAATTGGTTCACATTTTAAGATCAAATGTGTAGTAGCTAAGATGACTGTACAGGGAGAAAGCCACGTAAACCTTACAACAGTGATTCTCAACCTTCATAATGCGACGACACTTTAACACCGCTCCTCATTTTTTGGCGACTCCCAGACATTTAATCATTTTCGTTGCTACTTTATAGCTTCTGTGAATATGTTTTTTTTTTCTGATGGTCTTTGGCGACCCTTGTGGAAGGATCGTTCCACCAGCCAAAGGGTGGCAAACCCACAAGTTGAAAACTACTGCCTTACAGTATAAATAAGCACACATTTAAAATGAAAAAAAAGCATTAACTTAAAACCTTGGCTTTTTTTACAGATTTTAAACTTTACACATTTAAAAGAAAATGGTAATTGAAAAGTAACAACACAAATGGGACAAGATCAGCCTGAGAGGGCAGAGCCAAACCTGACAGTTTTTAGTTTCTGAAAAGGTCCTCGATAGATGCCTGCTTGACTCGTTTTGCCCGTTTTCTAGGCACAATCTCTCTCAACTAATGCGAGCAGATTGTTTCAGCTAACCTCATCTAATCCTGCTCACTAAAGTTCTGCAGCGCCGTCTCTCTCCACTTACCCGAGCAGATTGTTTCAGCTAACCTCATCTAATCCTGCTCACTTAAGTTCTGCAGCGCCGTCTCTCTCCACTTACCCGAGCAGATTGTTTCAGCTAACCTCATCTAATCCTGCTCACTTAAGTTCTGCAGCGCCGTCTCTCTCCACTTACCCGAGCAGATTGTTTCAGCTAACCTCATCTAATCCTGCTCACTTAAGTTCTGCAGCGCCGTCTCTCTCCACTTACCCGAGCAGATTGTTTCAGCTAACCTCATCTAATCCTGCTCACTAAAGTTCTGCAACGCTGCCTCAATCGTCTGAAAGAATTCCAAATGGATAAGATTTTGCCTGCCAGTTGAGGATACCTCCTGCTCCTCCTTGTCCTTTTCTATCACTTCACCCAGTGTCACCATTGACACAGCATAACTCAATTATTTCCCTAAATTCGTTGCTTGTTCTCCAATCTGTCCTCTCATCTGCACGGACATCGTCACCGCCCGGTGCCATTTTCATCTGCACTGACATCGTTGCAGACTGGTGCCATTTTAATCTTTACTGACATCGTCACAGCTCGGTGCCATTTTAATATGTACTGACATCACCACAGCCCGGTGCCATTTTAATCTGCACTGATATCACCACAGCCCGGTGCCATTTTAATCTGCACTGACATCGTCACAGCTCGGTTACTTTCTCCATTAACGAAACAAGTTAATCTTTATCATTTTCCACTTTGGTTTCCTATACGAGTTCGAGGTTCAAATGTCGACCATCACCTTTCCATCACCTTTCAGAACTTAAAATTCTCCGTCCATGCTTGAGCCAACAACCTTATAACATCTGTCATGTCAGTATTTTTCAGGGTGATAGTGTGTCTTCATAATTATCAGTCGCTGAAATCAATGAACTCAGAGGACACCGACAATAAATTTTCTTTAGCATTTCAAACAGACTTCAAACTGGATAGCACACACAGCTTCGATATCACCATCTGTCAGTTTTTCAATAGTCGGACGCCAAGGTGCCTTGTGAAGAAGTAGGCCAGTTTTTTTGCGGCAAAATATTGTCTGTCAGATGTTTGTCTACAGTTGGTAAAAATTCCTTACAGAATCATGTTTGTCTACAGTCGGTAAAAATTCCTTACGGAATCATGTTTGAAAGATTTCTGAATTTATCCATGTTTAAAGCGGTCTTATCGCTGTTGTACAAATGTTCATAGAAACGAAGCTCTCCCTCCCCTACCCACAATCCCACCTGCCTTTCTCAGTAAGTCTAAAAAAGATTTCCTCCGAACAAAGTTAAATGCATCTACCACAGCCGGTAAAGTCTCTCCACATAAGCTAAAGGTAGCGTCTAGTCGCTCGCCTGCGGAGCGAAGGGTCGCCAGTTCAGGTCCTGACGGAGGCGCATAGTTTTCCAAAATTACCTTGGCTCCCAGTTCGACACAGCCCAATATGGGATAAAACCCGGGGCAATGAAGTTTATCCTCTTGACTTTAACCTTTAACCTTTGCCCCAGCCTTGAATAGGTACCATGTGAAATCGTGGGAGGTAAAGGCGGTCTATGT